CTCTTGCATCTTCCTGCAAGCGTATCAGTTGCATAATTTAATAAATATATTATTGTCTATAAGTAACTCTATAGGTGGCTATCGGTCGCGTTGCTTAAATGTGCACGATATCATTCTCCTTGATAACTACGAAAGGATGTCATATCTTCTTATTGGGAACTTTTCCCTTTTGATGAAAATAGATTAGGTCATGTAAATCATCAGGCACCACAAGATGAACACCATTAGGGAATAGCTACTGTGTTTCTCTGACCAACCATGAATGCTGGGACGGTTAAGAAAGAGATGAATTGCAGCTTCATCTAGAGATTCTCGAATTGACGATGAATGGTTGAAGGTGACTGAAGCGGAGATAAAGAAAAATTGTGGTGCTCACAGAGCAATTAGCGCTACAGTAGGAGTCATGTTGGTTTTCCACATAACGGAGCTTAAATTAATGTTGTACCAAATTTAGAATTTGGAAAATGTTGGTTCATTCCCGTAGATCAGTGTCATTGCCCTTCAAACTTCAATTAGACATAGCGGAGAGATAAGCTCATCACTCTGCGCTGACCAATGGCAACTTTCTGCAATCAGTGTTTCTTGTAAAGTTTGCTTTGGGAAAAAACACCTGTTCGTGTGACAGCACAACACGATGATATGACATGGGATCGAATTAGTACGTAAGAGTGGTCAAGGAGAAACGACCGAGTCAAACGAGGAGGAGGTAAGCATGGCGTTCCCCAAAAAATGTAAGAATAAAAATTTCCCAGTGCTTCAGCGTGCGATACGCTGGCTCCGTGTATGAGTGTGTTACGTGCTTCAACTCCGAACGACTGCAAGCTACTTACGTCGCAGTCGAGGCAACAGCCAACGATCGCTAAGTTTGCTACAGTATATTAGGTGACATGCCTGCACATCACGTTTAAGATCTGCTGCGCGGCGGCATGCTCAGAGATGACCAACGGCGGGCGGACCGGCTCGAAAAGCGCTTATTCGTTTTCGATGGTGAAATATGTCCATGTAATCAGAGTGTTTTGATCGGCCAGGCTGCGCCGCGACTGTCACGGCCAAATGACGAACGACCGTCGCCATTGCCGACACAGCAGTCCGGAGATGGGACCGGATGGTCGACCGACGACCGACGGCACAGTTCGCCTCCACAGTACTCTGGAATGACTACAGCCGATCGATATTTCAGTAGCTCTAACAAATATCTCGTGTTTTCGGTCTGAAAAAACTCTCGTCATTAGATCCTTTTCAATCTTGCATGAATCGCTCAAGTCACTGGTGGCCAATCTATCGCCAGCACTGGCCATAAAAACTAACAGTTCATTAGCCGAACGGCAACGAACCGCACGCACACCCGTCGGCGTTATTGCGTTCATCCGCCGACATCCGTCTGTCCGGTCCGGTCGGTCGATGGCCATCGATAGCCCTACCCTCAGCTGAACATCGACCGGACAGGACCCCCCCCCCTTTTT